CATGGCCAACCTTGGTTCGATTCCCAGCATCCCCTATGGTCCCCTGAGCACTGCCAGGAGTAATTTCTGAGTGCATGAACCAGGAGTAATCCCTGTGCATCACCGGGTGTGACCCAAAAACCAAAAAAATTATATAGGAAATTTTATCAGTCTTATTTGGCCCATGTGCCCACATTGTAAGCACATAAAGGAACATTTTTGTTGTTTTGTTTTGTTTGAAATAAATAGGTTTTATTTGGAGGGTTTTTTGAAGGTGTGTCGAAAACAACAAGCTCCCGGGAGAGCACAAGGCAGAGTCTCCTACCCTGTGTCTGACTATCCTCGCCAGGGCCCAACAGCTGAAGACTTCCAGGCCCCAACCAAGGCCTTACTGGAGCCACTCTCCACACACTTGGATAAGCCTCAGACATAACCGAACTGGCAGAGGAACCCAGGTGTGTGGGACCCGGGACTGAGATCTCTAAGCCTGCACGGATTGGGACTGGACCTGTCAGTAGCTAAACAGTTACACCCTCCAACTGCCGTGTAACCCCAACAAAGGCCAGGATCCAAAGATTATCACAACAAGCTCCCGGGAGCGCGCGGCCGCGAATTTATTTATTTAATAATTTATTTATTTAATAATTTTCAGGATACCTTAAATATCCTTAAATATCCAACCCACACGGCAGAGCCTGGCAAGCTATCCGTGATCTATGCCAAATAGACCAAATTGATATGCCAAATCCAGTAATAAATGGATCTCATTCCCCTAGCCCTGATTATGCAGAGTCGAGAAGGATATGGAAGGAGAAGCTGATAAAACACCAAGGCAGACATGGGCTGCCAAAACGCAGAAAAACAAAAATGATTGTCTGTACTTTTAATGCTCGTACGCTGGCATCTGCTGCATCCATTGAAGACCTTATGGTACAAGCACGAAAGATCAAGTACGACATCATTGGTCTGACCGAAACGAGAAGACATCAATCCCATCATGCTGTTTTCGACACTGGAGAAGAACTGTTCCTTGGAACATGTGATAAAAGAGGCGTCGGTGGTGTCGGTATCCTTGTCAACACAAACTTAGTCACAAGCATTGATTCATTTGAATGCCTAACAACCCGAATCGGACGATTACACTTGAATAAATGTGGCTCACTACCGGCAGTTTCTATCTTTGTTGTCTACGCACCAACATCCAGTTATGGTGAAAAAGAAACTGAGAAATTCTACATGGAGCTGGAGAAATTCTATAAAGAAGATCACACCTTCTACAAGATCATTGTTGGTGATTTTAATGCCAAGATAGGACCAAGAAGATCAGTTGATGAACTCCACATCGGAACCCATGGCCTGGAATGGAACGAACAAGGTGACAGACTGTCTGAGTTCATCATGTCAACCAAAACCTTCCATGGTAACTCACAATTCCAAAAGGCTGAATCTAAACGTTGGACATGGGAGTCTCCCGATGGACGGTTCCACAATGAAATAGACCACATCATATTCAATCGGCGGTTTTGCCTAACCGATGTTGCTGTTGTCCCAAAATTCCAAACGGGATCAGACCACCGTCTTCTTCGTGCAAAATTCTACCTCACAGAACGAGGAGAAAAGAATGCAAGGTTTAAGAAGAAGACTCCCAGAACAACCACCAACTGGGAACTCTTTGGCTCTGTTGCAGCAACATGGGAAGATGCCGTCATTGACAACATTGATGAGGAATACGATCGAATGATTCAGCACCTCCATGATTGTGCAAGGAATGCCAAGAGAGAGATAACCACAAAAAACCGTCTTTCTTCGAACACTCTTGAACTTATTCGCCAACGTGGCGTGGCACGTGCCTCAGGCAACCACAAGCAAACGTCCGAACTGGCAAAACAGTGCAGAAAAGCCATCAAGGATGACCTCAAAAACAGGAGAGCAGCAGTACTGGTAGATGCAGCAGAAGCTGGGAAAAACATTCGTAATGCCCGCCTGTCCTTCACCAACTACAAAACCAAGATGACTGCCCTCCGACATCATGATGGATCTATCACATCTTCCAGAAGGGCAATGGAGAAGATTATTCATGAATTCTACTCAGATCTCTTTAATAGCCACATCCACTTGCCCACATACCACATACCACATGATGGATATGTCGTTCCCAATGTTCTCCCTTCCGAAATCCAACATGCCATCTCGTCCGTAAAGAAACAAAAAGCACCTGGCCCAGACAAGATCAGACCTGAACACCTGAAGAACTTACCATCAGTACTCATCAATACATTAGCTCGACTCTTCACACGCTACCTGTCTGAATGCAAGGTTCCATCCCAATGGAAAACCAGCAAGACTGTACTACTATACAAGAAAGGAGACATCCACGACATTGGCAACTATCGCCCAATCTGCCTATTGTCTGTCATCTACAAACTATTCACTCGAGTCATCCTGAATAGGATTAGCAGAACACTAGATGAAGGACAACCATGTGAACAAGCTGGATTCTGAAAAGGATTCAGTACCATCGACCATATCCACACAATAACCAAGCTCATTGAGGTATCTCGGGAGTTCAAGATGCCGCTCTGTCTAACGTTCATTGATTTAAAGAAGGCCTTTGATTCTGTTGAGACGGAAGCGGTCATGGAAGCCCTAGTCAATCAGGGCGTACAAACTCAATACATCAGGATCCTTCGTGAGCTCTATTGCGGATTCACTACCAAGATCTCACCATTCTACAAAGAAGTAATCATCCATATCAAGAGAGGGGTTCGGCAGGGTGATACCATTTCACCAAAACTCTTCAGTGCCACCCTCGAGAACATCATGCGACGACTAGAATGGGAAAACATGGATAGATGGTCGGCAACTACACCACCTCCGCTTTGCTGATGACATCGTTCTAATAACACCAAACATCAGCCAAGCGGCACAAATGCTTGCGGACTTTGACCGTGAGTGTGGAAAGGTTGGACTACAGCTGAATCTTACGAAGACAATGTTTATGAGAAACAGCCTTGTTCCTGACGCTCCATTCGCTCTCAACGGAACCACCATCTCCGAATGCAACAGTTATATATACTTAGGTCGAGAAATCAACATGATGAATGACCTGGCACCTGAGTTACGCAGGAGGAAGAGAGCGGCTTGGAATGCCTTCAAGAGCATTGAAGAAATAACTAAAAGGACAAAGAACCTCCAACTACGAGCACATCTCTTTGATTCCACTATTCTTCCTGCATTAACATATGCCTCAGAGACCTGGACCCTACGAAAACAGGATGAGAACACTATTCGGGTCTCTCAAAGAGGAATTGAAAGAACTATGCTTGGAATATCACGATTCACTCAAATGAGAGATAGAATCCGGAGTTCTGATCTTCGTCAACGCTCAAGAATCAGAGACGCTGTCTCATTTGCCAAGACATCAAAAATCAGATGGGCTGGACATGTAATGAGGTTTACAGACAACCGCTGGACTAGAGCCATTACTGATTGGATTCCACGAGACATCAAAAGATCACGTGGACGCCCACCTATAATATGGTCAGACTTCTTCGTCAAGACCCTAAATGATCGGTTTGAGGCTCTACATGTTCCTAAAACGAACAGATACCATTGGGCTACGCTAGCACGCAACCAGGATGAATGGAGACGTTACTGGCACCCGCTCGAATAAATCGATGAATAACGGGGATTAAGTGATTAAGTGATTAAGTGATTAAGTGAAGTGTCGAAAACAAAACAATGTAACAACAATATTTTTTTGTTACACATTAAGCATGTGTCTTCCTGGAGACTGTTTTTGCTTTAAAATATTTCTAAAGTATATTTCTTAGTAACTTTCCAGTTACTAAGTAACTGAAAGTAAACTAACACATCCCTTAGTAAAAGAGGGAAGTCTAGTAATTTCATAATAAAGGAATTTTATAAGATACTCTCCTCTCCCCACTTTTGGAGAGCCCAGCAAGCTACTGAGAGTGTCTTGCCCACATGGCAAAGCCTGGCAAGCTACCTATAACGTATTCGATTTGCCAAACACAGTAACAAGTCTCACAATGGAGACCATTACTGGGCCCGCTTGAGCAAATCGATGAATAACGGGAGGACAGTGACAGTGACTCAAAATATTATACTTTCTTTTTGAGGAGTATATCATATTTGAAGTGTTACATGGAAATAAATCTTGCTGTTATATACAGCATATTGGAGTTGGCAGTGCCTTGAACCAGAGCAGCCAGTATCAGGAGGAAGGATGAATAGTCAGGAGAGTAGTGTGCCAAGGGTGGGAGCAATGCTCACTGTTCTGTGTAAGGGAAGATGTAAAACCAAGTCTGACCCAACGGGAATACAATTCAGGTAGCAAGTGATCCAACTTTTCTAATGGTGGTTCTGGAAGGCAAGATACCAAAGAAACCAGTCAAGTTGAAAGAAAACACCAGAATGGAAATTAATCACAATGGCCCTTAGGATTTTATGGGACATCAAGAATTAACTCGAGAAAGTATGGGGGTTCTGTTTCTAGGGTAAAGCATCATTGTGAGTTGTTTTAAAGAAAGAGGGTGCCTTGATGTCATCAGAAGACATGCAGAGACTTAACACCAGATGCTGAAATCTGGAAACTATGCCACTTTTCCTCTTATTCATCTCATATTAGAAAATGAAATAAAGATACTGTGGTATCTTTATTAGAAAATGAAATAAAGATACTGTGGTATCTTTATTAGAAATCATGCATAATCTCTACCTTTCCTCTGCTTCCTGAAGCATCTTTAGTCTTCTTGTCTCAAACCTTATTTTTTATTTCTACAAAGCAAACAACACTTACTTTATTCTGCCTTGTACTTGTCTCTTGTGGAGCATGTCCTATGTTCCAGAGTACAATGAAGGTATTAAATAGCTAGCGAGTAAATAATTTAGAATTGTTAAAAGACATATTGATGTTGTGGGAAAAAAAGAAGCCAAACAAAAACATATTGTTGTGATCACAAAGCATTTTCCTTCAATTTTTTGTTTTTCTCTTTCAGATTTTACTAGATGTTGCCAGGACTCTGGATTGCTTATGGTGGTAAAATGCCGGAAAGAAAATTCTGCACTGAAAGACTGTCTAACTTCTTAGTAAGTAGTCACCTCGGTGTTTTGCATCCGTGTATGGGTCTTTAACTTGTGTGTATCAGCAGGTCAGGGGCCAGAGATATAGTACAGCAGGTAAGGAAATTGCTTTTCTTGTGGCTGACCCATGTTCAATCCCTGGTACTCCGTATGGCTCGCTGAGCATTACCAGGAGTCCTAGGAGTAAGCCTTCAGCACTGCCAGGTGTGGCCCAAAAATCCAAAGGGGGGGGGGGGGGGGAAGAAACCAAGAGGTCAGCAAAAATATATATTATTTTTCATATTATTTAGCAGCTCCCTTTTTATGAACAGATTGATCTAGGGAATATAAGTGAGTTTATAATTCCCTTGTAATGAAAGGTACCACGTTAGATAATATATAAAATCTTTACCAGATTTGTAATTTTTTTTTTAAAGTGATGTAATTTAACTCTTGGGTATAAGTCCAGTGAACGAAAAAGGTAAATTTAGATTCTTTTGCCAGTCCAGATTAATAAAAAGGTAAAAGGTAAAGGCCCTCCCGTTGATCGTCGATTTGCTCGAGCGGGCCCAGTAACGTCTCCATTGGAGACTTTGTTGTTACTGTGTCTGGCATATCGAATACTCTCGGTAGCTTGCCGGGCTCTCCGAGAGGGGCGGAGGAATCGAACTCGGGTCGGCCATGTTGGCCGCTTGTAAGGCGAACGCCCTACCCGCTGTGCTATCGCTCCAGCCCAGATTAATAAAATAATTCAAAATGTTGTGTTCATTGATATTTCATTGTATATTCACAAATCTTATTTTTTGGGAGAAGGGGGAGACACCATGGTTATACCTGTTGTGTTTAGGAGACAAATATGTTACCAGGGATAAAGCCTGGTACATTCAGGGCCATGCAAGGCTTGTGCTCTATCATTTGGGCCACAGTCCCAGTCCTGATTCTTTCATTTTTAAGTTTTAAAGTAAAAGTATGCACTATCACTATCACTCTCACCCCGTTGTTCTTCAGTTCGCTCAAGCGGGCCCAGTAACGTCTCCATTCATCCCCGTCACGTGCAAGTATGGCCTGATGACATATTGGGGGCTCCTTCAGGGTCAGGGGAATGAGGACCATTCATTATTACTGTTTTTGACATATCGAGTACGCCACGGGTAGCTTGTCAGGCTCTGCCGTGTGGGCGGGATACTCTTGGTAGCTTGCCGGGCTCTCTGAGATGGATGGAGGCTTTTGGGGCAGCCTCTAATCACCTTTACAGGTGTTTCTAGTCAGGCATATAGGTGGGTATGATACTCTCAGTAGCCTTCCGGGTTCTCTGAGAGTGAGAACTAGAGAATAAGAGGTCACATGGCCGCGAATGCTTGGTTTTATAGTCTCTGGATAGCCGTTGATGGGGTTACTGGAAGGTGGGGGAGCTGGGTGGAAGAGGCCCAGACCCTAACCGAGCAGGGTTGGAGATCTCAGCCCCAGGTCCCACACACCTGGGTTCCTCTGCCAGTTCCTAGTCTAAGCATGTGGAGAGTGGTCTCAGCATGGCTTTGGCTGGGTCCCAGAGGTCTTCAGCTGTCAGGGCTCTGTTCAGGGCAGAGAGGGAAACTCAACCCGCCCTCCTCCAAGGGGCCTCGGTGAGGACAGCCAGGCGCAGGGGCAGTATGCAAAGGCTGTAAATGTTTTCCTTTTTTAATCCCATATTTAATTACATATTATTGATAAAAAGTACTGTGGAATACCTTTAGTATAACCTTTCTAAACCGTGAGTCATATGGCCACATGTGTCCCACGGTATTCTGAGGGACAAGTAAAACTGTAAAAGCCAGTGGTGGGGATTGGGGGGCTGGGGAGGGTGTCAGCAGGCTGTGGAACAAACTGTGGTGGTGGAACAGGAGGGCCTCAGAAGGAAACAAGGTTTGAAGAAGGCCATGGTCAGAAAAAGGTTGAGAAGCACTGCTGCTTCAGTATGTTTTGTTAATTGGTAGCTGTGAGATGTGAGTTTTGTCAAATCCTTATTTTCTTCTATAGTCTGTTTCCCTAGCCCCATATTGAAGCATATATCAATATGATTTGATTAGAGAACTAAATTTTAAAAGTGGTTGGAATAGTAATAAGAAATAATTGTTTTTATATGTCTGCCAAGGGAACAGGTTGGGGAGTAGGAAGGAACCTTGGGACATTGTTGGAGCGAAAGGGGATATTGATGGTGTGATTGTTCTTGGAACATTGTGTGTCTGATACAACTCTGTTGGAACAACTTTGTAAATCACACTGCCTTAATAAAAATTGAAAGAAAAAAGTGATGACCTGAATCTCATCTTTTTTAAAAAAAAATATAATGTACACCTAAATTTATAGAGTTTGGGTTATCCTTGGGGAGATAGTTCAAAGGACTTAAGAGCCTTATGTTGCCTGTAGAAGGCCCTGATTCCTCATGTACAGTACCTGGAGTGGTGCCTGTGCACCACTGGGTGTGGCATCAGGACAAAAACAAGCAAAAATTGAAGACCTTCTTTAGAATGCTGAAGATATAGTGTTTAACCATAGAGAGGTTAAGAGTTTATCCTATGACTTCTTCCTGTTCTTTTCCTGAGTTCCTGTTTACTAACCTCTTAAACTCTTTTATGTCTTAACTTGTTAAATTCAGTCTTAGTTATTATCTCTCCTTTGAGCACTAGAGGCAGGATGAACCCAGAGAGGGCAGCTTGGACTCAGCTTCTGGACACATCAAAACTTAACTAAACAGGGCTGGAGCAATAGCATAGCGGGTAGGGCGTTTACCTTGCATGTGGCTGACCCAGGTTCGATTCCCAGCATCCCATTTGGTCCCCTGAGCACCGCCAGGGGTAATTCCTGAGTGCAGAGTCAGGAGTAACCTCTGTGCATTGCCAGATGTGATCCAAAAAGCACAAACAACAACAACAACAACAACAAAAACCAAAAAAACAAAACAACCATGTGTCCGTAGGTGGATTCCTCACTAGAAGCAATTTCATTAGTAAATCATTTTCCCACATAGTAAGTACAAAATAATGCCTGGCCCCATAGGAAGTACACTGTTAGCTATTTTTTTTTTTGAAAAAATATGTTAGGTGGTGGGAAAGACATCTGATTATCTTTCCATAAACTAGTAGGAAGAGAAAACAGGTTCTATCTTGGTGGGGAATAACTGGTATCACTGGGAGATAACACTATCACTGTCATCCTGTTGTTCATCGATTTCCTCCAGCAGGCACCACTAACGACTCCTTCGTCCTAGCCCTGAGATTTAGAAAGTGCCACATTCGAGGCTCTTTCAGGGTCAGGAGAATGAGACCCATCGTTGTTACTGGTTTTTGGCGTATTGAATACGCCATGGGGAGTTTGCCAGACTGCTGTGTGGGCAGGATAATTTTGGTAGCCTGCCAGGTTCTTCAGAGTAAGAACTAGATAATAAGATCTCGCTCAGTCAGGAGCTGGTTGGTGGGTGTAACTCCTATGTACTGGAAGATCTGGGGGATCTGGGTGGAGGAGGCCCAGTCCCAATCCGAGCAGTCTTGGAGATCTACACTCTGAATCCCACAAACCTTGGTTCCTCTGCCGGTTCCTTCATGTGTGAGGCTCGTCCGAACATGTGGAGACTGGTCTTAAGCATGGCTGTGGCTGGAACCAGAGGTCTTCAGCTTACAGGGCTCTGCTCAGGGTGGGTAGGGAAACTCAACCCACCCTCCTCCATCTTGGTGGGGAATAATTGGTAATGGTAGGACTTTATAAAGCTGCTTGTTGTATTTAGAAGAAATAAGCAGTAAGAACAGAATTTCACATTTGTTGAAAGTAAGCAGATCCTTTACAGAAAGATTTTTACTTGACATTAAATCTCAACGTCCTCTGGTAGAGTATATTTTTCATCTTTGCCTAAGAAAGTACTCTTAACGGCTCCTCCCTTGGCATAACTACTCATCATTTCTTTTCTGGTTTATCGTAATTGTTTATTGCACTGTTTGTCTCTATTTTGCTGTATGTTTTAGCCTGCTACATATTGTTAGCTTCATATCTTAGTCTCTAAGATATATAACTGATAAGACGTTCTGTTAATAGTATCCATCACCCTCAGGATAGATGGTTTTCATAGGGCTCATCCTGGTTTTGTCCTTCCCCTTCTCAGTTAGTTTAGGTCTGTATCATAAATGTGTAATTTTTCTCTGATGGCACTTATCTGCTTGCAGGTCTTTATACATCAGCTTTTCCTCATCTTTGTGCCTTTCCACATGATCCTCTATATGTATTTTTGTTGATCCTTCACAACACAATAGATTCTTCCTTCCGTCACTTCTTCCCTGTGAAACATGGCAATGGACCTTAGTGTTTTTCATAGCACTTTGTATGCTGAATTGTAATGTAGGTTTAATTTGGTTGTCCTGTAACAACTAAGAGCACCTTGAGGATAGGACTGTGCTTCTCAGGACTGGGGCAGTGCTTTTCAAAAAAGAACCATATTTCTTTATTTTCTGTCTTTTGATTTGGTAGCTTAATATTTATAATCAATTTATCTATAACTGAAAATCTCCTTCTAATGATGGATATATGAATATTAGCACTGTAGTACTGTAGCACTGTCTTCCCATTGCTCATCAATTTGCTCAGCAGGCCCAGTAACATCTCCATCATGAGACTTGTTACTGTATTTGGCATATCAAATACATCATGGGTAGCTTTATATGAATATTATTAAAACTAATACTAAATACTATAGGATAATTTGCATTGAGATTTTAATTTCCTTTTTATGTAGCTATAAAGATCCAGCATTTTATGAAGAATGCAAAATGGAATACCTGAAAGAGAGGGAAGAGTTTAGAAGAACTGGAGTTCCTACCAAGAAAAGGCTACAGAAGCTTCCAACAAGCATGTAGGCAAATAGTAAAATAATACACAGAACTCTAATGCTGGTGGAAATCACAGTCACTGGAAAGGATGGACTCATGGATGGGTGTTTACCTTTACCACTTTATCCTAAATTATGAAAATACTAATTTTTATTTGAAATAAAGTTAATTGTAAAGTTTTATTATTAAATGGGATGGGGTAAACTATAAAATGATATAAAATTATCTAATTACATATTTTTCATAAAATTGTCTACAACTGTAATTTTATAGTAGTGGTTATTTTTTGGGGGGATATGAGGGAGCTTTGGGCCATATGTGGTAATGCTTCGGGGATCTTCCTGGCTTTGTGCTCAGGAGTGATCCCTAACAGTGTGAGGTGAGAACTTTGTGGTGCTGGGGTTTCCAGTTGGGACCAGTATGATGCAAGGCAGTTAACTTAAATCTCTAGTCCAGCAATACTGATTTTTAAGGTCTTCTTCCATTACTTTCTTCCAGCATATGGACTAATGGTTTATCACGAGGGCCAGGAAAGCAGAATGGGAAACCTTCAAAGGTATTAATAGTAATTAGTTATTATAGCAGAATGTCCATGAATCAAAATCATTCCTTTAGGAAATAAGAATCATTACTGTGAAGATTCAGTAAGTATTGCAGTAGGGTTTGTGGGACAATGCTTCAGACATGTTAACTTTATATAGTTAATGGGTTATATTACTAAGGGCATGTTTAAAATATAGGAAATACTTATAAATTAATTTAGATTTTTGGTGGAATATTTCTTAAAATGTCTTGTTCTTTGACCTATTTATTTGGCTACTGAAAATATTTTGATCATTTTTAAAGTTAGTATAAATTAACATCTGTAACATAGTTTCAGATATCCTATCTCAGTATGATTTGATTCTAGATTGAGTTTTTATATAAGAAGTTGCTGTTTTTGTTTTATGAACTGTTAGTAGCCTCACTGTAACCATTGTGTGTGTTTAAATTACAAGTAGAATTTACTACCTCTACTAGGATAAGACTTCATTCAGTCCTGATTCCATGACATAGATGACTTAAGAACCCAAAGCAAATAAAATCCTGACTAACCAAAGAGATGTTCAAGTCCACACTTTACTGAAGTGAATCAACCAAGGAACTATTTATTGGATCTTTGTTTTGGGGACACATCTGGCAGTGCCTGGGACCATTAGACAGTGCTTGTTGGTCAGGGGACCATATGATGCCAACGACTTCTGCACGCAAAATGCTCCAGCCCTTTGGGCCATCCTCCAGGTTCCCTATTTCACCTTTACTTGAGATCTGGAACAGTCAAATTTTTCCCAGACTGCAGATTATAGATGATTACTAGAGCTGACGAAGTAAAGCAAATAGAGATCTGGAGACCATATAGCAGCAAGGCAAATGGGTCTATATTCCTGTTAAACTTTCAGTATTAGTGCGCTTTAGTTAGAAGCATTTTAATTCTTGTTTTTATAGACTTAAAGGCAAGAGTTACTTTCAGTAGTGACATATTTAATATGTGGATGTTGTAATTTTGATACAAGGGAATATAGGTATTAATTTCCCTACAGTGTTAGACAGAGTAGGTTAGTTTTATGGTTGAAAATGTTTATCCTTCTTTATTATCTTAAAAGCTAAACCGTTCATCGGAACATTCTGGATATCCATGCCTATCCATACTCAAGTCTACTTGACTGGTATAACTACCTCAGATGTGTCTTGCTCATTTGTACCTCTGCTGATACTGTGGTAAGTCACAATTCACACATCTACCCCTTAAAGGTTTACTTTCAAGAAACCTTTTTGGATACTGTTCCCGTGCACTTAACCTTCTTCAGTTCTCTGGAAGTCACAATTTCCCCAGTTCATTTTGATTTTCTAATGTTTTACATTGTTTATGTCCTTGACTCTTATAAATTCCATCTCAGTTTCTTTTCAGAAGAGATGCAAATTTTAGCTAGTAAGAGATAGCAGAAGAACAAGTTGCTTTTCTAATATATGTTGCGTTCTTTTCTGTTGAATTAATGAATTTGCTGAATTATGTTACCTGAGTAGAAATATAGATGAAAGAAATTTTCGAGAAGCCATTTTTAACAAGTTTCAGTTAGCATTAAAAAAGTCACCATATAGTTTGTATGTATAGTCTGTATTCCATATAAATGATAAGCTACAGATGGGCTGTTCTCTTCCTTTTGAATCTTCCCTGTACAAGAAATGATCACGAAGTATACTAAAAATTTCTAGCATGGTAAAGAAATTTGGGTTAACTTTTATGTAATAGTCTTCACACTTCGTTTATTTCACACTGTAAACGGTCAAGAATATACACTGACTTCTAGGTTTTTTGTTTTTTTTTTTGATGGCTAAGCTCATCCTACTATTTAAAAGGAAAGTCTTTCATTCAAAAGAGCTTTGATTAGTAAGAAAAATGTCAGTTATATGAATCAAAAAATCCCCAAAACGTAGTACCTGACTTCAGGACATACAAAGGTAAGGCAAGGACATTGCACATGTACTTAAATTTTAAATAAAAATAATTTATTTTAATTAAACAATTTCTTGATATTATGCAAAACATTAATCAAGCCATTATGCCATATGACTTAACTTTCTTTACAGAGAAAAAATTCCAACCTTAGTTTTAAAAGGCAACCAGTAAGGTACATTAGATTAGATATAATACACAGCCTATGCAGCCACATGAGAAATAGTTTTTGCTGCTTTGTTATTACACAGGTAGTTGCTTCCTTCAGCTAAAGCCTGGAGTCTTGTATTTGTTTTATGCATATTGGGTTTGTTCTATTACTTGGCAGGAGATTGTACTCCCTTGAGTCAGCTGTGTTCATTGGTCAGAATAAATTCCAGTATCTGACACCAATTCCATTAATCAGAGACAAGCTTGAATAAGTGAGTAAGATAATAGAAAGACAAAAATATCTGGTGAACAGTGAACATTATGTATGTATGCTATTCAGTTAATATAGAAGAGATCTGAGATACTCTTCAGTTCAATATATTTGAAACTGTCTATCAAAAGGGATAAAGGCCTCCTACAAACAACTATCTTAGGCAAAAGATGTATGAGTCAAGTAATATATTAATAATATTCTTAATATTACCACCCTGAAAGAATATGAATACTTTCCATGTGACATCATTCTTATTATTTCCTCACTTGTTTATAAATAGGCCACTGAAATCAATGAGCTAGGGACAAGTCATGATTGTATTATATCAATACAGCATAGCATTTTATTTGGTTTCTAGAACTAAAGTCCTCACTTAACTAATTATTGTCACTGTCCTCCCGTTGTTCATCGATTTGCTCGAGCGGGCCCAGTAACACCTTCATTGTGAGACTTCTTGTTACTGTCTTTGGCATATCGAATACGTCACAGGGAGCTTGCAAGGCTTTGCCCTGCGGGCAAGATATTCTTGGTAGCTTGCCGGGCTCTCCAAGAGGGGCAGAGGAATCGAACCCAGCTCGGCCGGGCTGGCTGCAAGCAAGGCAAATGCCCTACTGCTGTGCTATCACTCCAGCCCCCTTAACTAATTAAAAATAACTTTTTCAATGAGTATGTTACATTTCAAGATGAAGTTAACAGTTACAAGCTGCTGCAAAACCTTTGAAGAAATTTATATAATTATACATATTTTTAGATTTTTATTAAGGACCACTGAAGGAATAGAAGAGACTGACCTCTGACTTCTGTGATTCTCTTTCTACTTTAATTGGGTGACTTATAGAATTCTAATAGTTTATTCATACTTCACAGTTTTAAACTGTGCATCATGTTTTTCAATTAGGATCTGAAGGATGACTGGCACAATTTTTTTTTTAGTGACCAGATTATTTCAGATTTTAAGTTTCAAATTGAAATTCCAAATTAGTAATTTAATGCTGCCAATCAGCCTTGTGAATTTAGAAAAAACAAATAAGCCTTAGGAGTGCTCACCTAGCTTAGTTAGTAGAGCATGAGACTCAGTTAAACCTTAGGTTCCAGAGAGATAGTATGGGTGATAGGCTGCTTGCCTTACAAGCAGCCAACTCGGGCTCCACCCTGCCCCACTCCAGATCCTATATGGTTCCCTGAGCCTAAGTGCAGTGCCAGGAGTAAACCCTGAACGTTGCCGGGTGTGCGCCCCCACCCTTGTCCAATTAAACCTTTAAACACAGTAACACCGAGTAACAATCATTTTTCTTATCTTTATGCATTATTGTAAATTCAACAAAAATAAAATCTATTCACATTTTCTCCTTTATGCAACTTGCAAATTTTTCTGATATTAATGACTTTATTTTCAAAAGCAAAAACCATATTTGAAAACTTCAAATCTCATTTTTTTGAGGCAAAAATTTATATTATCAAAGGTAGAACTGTCCTTTTGAAACACCATTAGTTTACTAACATATTAATAACATATTTTTGATGATTAGCCACAATATAGAGCTGGATGGCAATCTTTCATACTGGTAATCAACTACATAATATGGTATAGCATGTGCAAATGTATGTGCTGAAGAACTCTACAAAATTTAATCAAAACCCACTTTCGGTTTGTTAAATAATTTCTTGAGATCCTCTCTGCATCCTCGTGACCAAATAGGATCTCTTCAGAATTAATTTTTATAAACACAGTTTTGATTATGCTGATCCACGTAGTGAACTGGTGGCAGGGTGGGTAAAGGCAAAGTCTTGTTTTTAGTTTCCCCAAATGCCGTCTCACTTGATTTAGGTGGGCTTGGAAATACCCAAGAATTGTCTTCCAGCGAATTTCGGCCCAAAGAGTTGTGTTCCTGAAAGTCTGTACCATCATGAGTAACAGATCGCTCATTATCCGTCCATGATTGGAGAACTGCTTTCTCTGATAAAACCTTCATATCTCCTGGTACAGGGGAAGATGTACTATGACAAAGAGTTTTCCCATTTGGGGAGAGAGGGGAATGTCTTTTGTATGTTGCAGTAAAATTTGCCAGGTGCAGTTTTGTGCTGTCTTTCCCAAGGTCTTCCATGCATCCTGGAGTATAGGCTACAAAGAAAGCAAAAGCTAAAAATCAGTTGTCATGGCTTTTGTGATTACAAAATATGTAAGACTTTACTTAATTTGGTTGCATTCTGGAACTGAAAATAGAAGTTTACATTTTCTTTTTTTTTTCCCTTTAGAAGTTTACATTTTCAAGGGGCATTGCATGTTACAGAGCATGATAGATGATCTGAATTTAATTTTACCTTACTGATGATGTGACTTTAGGTAACTCATTTTAATATTTTATCTGTCATTTCTCTCATATGCAAAATAGACATTAAAATCTTATCTTGTAATTTGTTAATGTGGCTAAATAAGGCTGACCTACTGTGTCTGCAAAAAGTAAATTAGTTTCTTAGTATGTACAGAATATTTTGCTATTTGTTTTTTTTCCCCCCCAAGATTATGAAGAATATTTTCAAAGAGTTTTTGTGAATTTGAGCCCTAAATGAAGTTTCAACATACAATCAGTAGGCTTTGGTGGATAAAACAACTTAAATAAAAAAACCATAAAAAAATTTTGACACATGTAATGGGAGATGTAAGTTCTCATATAATATGTCAACTAAGGTAACGTTTACGTGGTTTAAAGCACCAAAGATATCATTCACCAGCTAAGAAGCTCCAAAACAAGCCATTTCCAAATACTATGACAGAACATTTCTCCTTTTACTCTCTGAAGCTACAAAAAACAACACTTACTTCAAGTTACTGTGAGTTATCTTTTTCAGGTTAAGACTTATTTCTAGCTCCAACTAATAAGAAAATTTGAATACAAAATGAGCCATACAATTAAGTACTGTATTGTTTTGACTGATTCACAAGTCATACTAGAAATGAAAGGAATCATGAGTGTAACTTTTCAATATGCAACATCCCCCACTAATAAACACTCAGGGGGAAATTTATTCATTGTAATACTCTTGCTCCCTCTTGAGGAACAATCTGAAGTGCAAATCACAATTCCTGTCTTAATACTTATTACTTTAAAATGTTTTAGTGCATTCACATTTTTATTATGCAATGTGTGAGAAATATAACTATTACTATGTAACAAAAGGTACAAAATGCACTGTTGGTACTCCTTTCTCAGGTATAAAAACACTTTAGCAACGTAATCACTATTAATAAAATTCAATCAAGGATATATACGAAAGGTAGGCAATGAAAAATTTTTGTTTAGTTTGACAAAAAAAGGAGTTATCAAGTTATTCTTCAAAGAATAAAGTTAAGGTCACAAAAATTGCACTGTAGCACTGTCACTGTCCTCCCGTTGTTCATCGATTTGCTCGAGCGGGCCCAGTAACGTCTCCATTGTGAGACTTGTTGTTACTGTGTTTGGCATATCAAATCTGTCACGGGGAGCTTGCCAGGCTTTGCCATGAGGGCGAAATACTCTCAGTAGCTTGCCAGGCTCTCTGAGAGGAGCGGAGGAATCTAACCTGGCTCGGCTGGGCTGGCCGCTAACATTAGATAAAATTGAAAATAAAGTTTTGCTTTTGACGGCAAACTAAAAAAGTTAGGTCTTTATTGTATTTTGTAGGATTGCAATAACTTCTAGTTGTCTTGTTTTATATATATATTTACATATAAAGTACTTCTGGTAAAATGTCAACTTAGAGCAAACTTAACACCTCAGCCGTATACACATAAGCAACACCTGGTGAGAATAAAAAGCCACAAGGGGAAAAGAATACAGTACTGGAAAAAAAACACTATCGCTAACACCTTTATGTGTGAAGGTGATCAGTCTGAGACTACTAAAGCCAAAGTAGAGAATGGGTAAGCTGTGAACATACTCTCAATAACTTTGGCTTAGCAAACTTAATTGATGTGATTGTTTTGTTTTTTATTTTGTTTTGTTTTGTTTTTGCTTTTTGGGTCATACCCGGCGATACACGGGGTTTACTTCTTGCTCTGCACTCAAAAATTACTGCTGCAGTGCTCAGGGAACCATATGACATGCTGGGAATCGAACCCGGGTCGGCCGCGTGCAAGGCAAACGCCCTACCCGCTGTGCTATAGCTCCAGCCCTGATGTGACTGTTAAGATGAAATACCTAGTTGATCTTTGAGCAGTTCTAGTAAACAATTACTTGCCTTTTTTAATTGCAGTTGGAATTTTCAGTTTTCTTAATAGTTCAGTTTGTACTTGAGTCACCAGATGTAAATTGGACATCTCTTTCTTCATTTCCCAGTATGCATGTTGCATATTATCACTGAAATACAGGTTTTATTTTTTTTAACTTAAAGATCATTATTCTTATGAACAGAAGACACTAACATTAAAATAAAAATAATGCATATCTGCATTTATTTTTGAATCAGGTTTTAATATAAGCAAGTAAAATGAAACTTTCTCATTAAGTATTGAAAGACTATTAAGGGATTATTATAACAAGTGGAAACAATTGTTAACAATAAAATTCTAGTAGCTATAACAAGCAGAAGGGGATTGCAAAATTTTTTAACCAGCGAGTTTCTTCCCATTCAGAATTGAGCTTTTTATATAGCCTCTAATCTGCAGTAGTGTGTATTAATATATTCGGTAGTATGAAATAAGTTCATTTGCAAGTTTAAAGAGGCATAATGTATAGATTTTAAGTTTGTATTTATCTTATAATTGATCTGATGTTGTAAGTTGAAATGCTATGTCAAAAATTTTTCGATGTACACCTATCTCACATTAAAATAAAATATAGGTTTCATATACTCAATTCTTTATGTTTGACTGGGCTGTCTCATATTGTTGGTTCTAAACCAATGTGACATGACAGCATAAGACATCAAGAGTCAAATGATTTCCTGGTAAAGGAAAAGATAATTCAGAAAAATAATTATAGAAAATATAAAAAGAAGAACCAACTCAAAGGTATTTTAATTGTCTAAACCATTTGATAATGGAATCATTATTGATAGCTACATTTTAAAGTTTAAGCTTCCCTTAAACATTCCCACCTGGCTATTTATGATGGGGGGGGGGGTCTTAATTCTCAAAAATATATGGAAATATCCAAGATGTATTTTTACTTTGCTACACACACACAATGAAACTTAAATTCAACTGGGTCTCCTAATGTTTAGCAACCATTCTCCCTTCTTAGGACAACACTAAGAATGAAATCATGAGAAAAAGTGCTACGTGTCTTAATTTTTGTCTGTAGCACTGTCCTCCCGTTGTTTATCGATTTGCTCAACTGGGCCAGTAATGCCTCCATTGTGAGACTTCTTGTTACTGTGTATGGCATATTGAATATATCACGGGTAGCTTGTCAGGCTTTGCTGTGCGGGCGACATACTCTTGGTAGCTTGCTGGGCTCTCCGAGAGGGGCGGAGGAATCGAACCTGGCTAGGCCAGGCCGGTCGCAGGCAAGGCAAACGCCCTACGGCTGTGCTATCGCTCCAGCCCCATTTTTTTTTTTATCTATCCATAAATAGTTCCAAGGAATATCATTCTTAATATCTTTAGTTATTATCTTAATCAAATTAAAAATATTCTGATTTATGTACGCCATTACTGTTTTTAAAGGAGGACTTAATTCTTTTAGTAAGTGTAGCAGAATTACATTTTATTGATTTTCAAAATGATCTACTTGTGTTAAATCTGTTGTAACTAGAATATTAAAACTCGCAGTGCTTTTTTCATAATTTTGATAGGTATGAAACAATTATTCTTCAAAAATTAGTTAACCCCTCTAGTATCACTGGTAAATAGCTAAGATGTAAGTTACAATAATTGTTTCACATAAGAATCTGTCTTCAGCGTGAAGAGAGTTTGGTGGTTCAGCGTGAAGAGAGTTTGGTTGTTCAATAGCACAATTATGGGCTCTCAGTAAGCTTACTAGTTTTATCAGTTAGCAGTCAATGTAAATATTATACCTGTACTAATTCATTGTCATGATATGGATAATACAGTGAAAAATGGTTTATTATGGGCATAAGACAGTAAAGAAGTATCTGACTTGGAAAAAAGAAAAATGAATACTAAAAGCAATTATTTCAGTATCATAATATTAATCAAATACATCTACCTATTCAAAATGAGCATGTAAAATTACTATGGAGGTGTTAGTGTGGAATTACACATTTCCCAGCTTTTTATTTTTTTTAAATAAAAGCTTTTATATTAGGTTAAACAAAAAACTAAGTCATGGTTTAACATACATCTTTTCTCAGTTTACTTCAATTGAAAGTGGAGATAAAAATCTATAATTATTACTAAGGATAAGTTCTCCCTCTTGTGGATAGCCCAAGTAATAGCAGTATCACCCATATTGCAGTTAAAAGTGCTATGATCTTCAAATATTATTAAAAATTACCATGTTTAAATCATTAGTGCAATTAGGAAAGCTAATCCCGCACATATTAGGAGGGTCCCAATGGAATCCATTCTAAACAGTTTTGAGATTCTAAATCATATATATACACCTGATAAATATGTATGCACATACATAGCTACAAAGAACTTACAAAACTAAATATTACAATCCAGCACTTATTCCAAATGAAAAACATAAAGTTAAACTAACAAAATTTAATTTGCTCGAACGGGCCCAGTAATGTCTCCATCATGAGACTTTGTTACAAGTAGCTTGCCAGGCTTTGCCGTGCGGGCGAGATACTCTCAGTAGCTTGCTGGGCTCTCCTAGAGGGGTGAGGCAAACACCCTACCATTGTGCTATCCTAGGCACTTATTGTCTCCACCGCTTAGGTACAGGATAGGTACAGGATAAAATTACTCTTCTCAGACATAGATATTCAAAACTATCTTTTAATTATCCAGCGACTGATCGCTGTCCTTTTGGGGTTAAGACTATCCACTTATCAACTATATATAAAACAATGCCAACACAACTTTTTAATTCATAGTTTAAACCTTTTTAACTATTTTAAATGAAAGGAAATCTGCTTATGTACATCTTTGAGATGGGGCACATGTTCTGCTTCACAAAATAAAACTAAAAAAGCCCTGTTTTCTTAATTGACATTAAACATTCAAGTTTTATTAATAAAATGAATAGTATTTATACAAGAAAAATCTACTTTGTTTTTATACTACTTGTTTTTTTTTTTCCTTTGGCTTTGTTCTTTTGTTCTGTTTTTGGGTCATCATCAGTGATATTCATAAGTAACTCCCAAGCCATGCTTGGGGGTCATGTGGTGCCCTGCTGGAAACAAGACCTGTCCTGTATGCCCATGTACTCAGCCTGTAAAGCTATCTCGCTCACCTATCACTTGAATGTTTATCCCCAGGAACTTAAAATGAAATTATGATACGGTTTTAAGCCAAGAGCTACAAACGTAGAGCAGCCATACTGAACCCTCTGTTTTACTTCAGATTTGAGTTCACAAAATTTTATGATCACTAGGAAAACAGCATATTGAAAAAATGCTGTTCTACTTCGAGATAAACATTTTAAGAAATTTCAAAATACAAGTTCACTCCACCTAGAGCTGGTTTACAAAATCTATAGCAACAAAACATTATATTGGCAGGAAAATGGCAGAGCTGTTAAGTGATAATGTATACAGTTAATGACATATAAAAGCACTTTTGTGATTAAAATAATCTTGAAAATTACCTAAACATTCAGAGGACACTGTCAAGATGATGATAGTGGGTGCTCCTTGTTTTTATGCAACAAGAGTAACAACAAACAACCAGAAACGGGACATTAAGAGAATCACACAGAACAGTGGTAAACTGAAAGAGCTTCACAACTCAGACGACAATGAGAAGATAAGAGTCTCAATTCAGTGGTAGTGTAATGGAAGGTGGGCTTGAGAGTGACACACAGGGCAACTGTGTGCAAATGCGGGGGATGGGTAAAGATGGCTTGGCAGCCAGTCGAACCACATACAGGCCCTACAGAGGAGAGAGCTCTGGGTATGGTAGAACACAACCCTACCCCAGGTAACATTTTATAATACTTAAGTGCTCCAACTGGCCATCATGAAGAAACTCAATAAAACTCAGAAAAGCAATTCAATGAACAACTGAATAAAACTAAGAGATTAACAGCTTTAAATAAAAGATGAGATTTCAGATGTACCAAAACTCAACAAAGCTACAGAAAGCTATGGAACTAGATCGAAAATATGAAAAGTTAATCACTGAGTTCAATGACTAGAACCCAGAAATATACAAAAATCCACTGCATGTCTACATGCATATGACAAGAAATAAAACAAATCATACTCAAATGGATTAAAAATCTTTAAATGAATTTACCCAACATGTGGGAAATCTGTGCGCTGAAAATTATAAGATACTGTTAAATGGAAGACACAAAGATATGGAAAGGTATTTCGTGTTCATGAATTAGAATGGTTAATATCATTAATATAGTTATATAAGAATTACATAAAACCAATGGAATTTCTCTCAAAATTTCAATGGAAAACAATTAAAAAAAAAACAGCCTAAGAGAAATGGTTCAGCATGTAGGGCACATCCCTTGCACAAAGCCAGTTTTGATCCCTGGTAGTCCACATGGTCCACAGAGCATCACAAGGAGCAGAGCCAGAAGGAAGCGCTGAGCACCACTGGGCTTACTGCAAGTACCCCAAAAAGAAAAACAAAAAACCCACAACCCCAGAAAATTTATTCAGAACTATAAAAAAGTCCAAGTAACACAAATCCTGGGGATGGGGAACAACATATATCACACCAACTGTTGTCTAAGCCTATTATAGTACAGTGCTTAATAATCAAATCAGCATGATCAGAGATCATGAATAGAAATGAGAGAATAGAAAAAGTCCTACACATAGACAACTTATGAAAAAGGAGTCAAAAATATTTGATCATAGAAATCATCAGTAAATGGTGTGGGGGAAAAGTGGAAAGCAACACACATACAAAAGAATGAAACTAAATAAAAATATTTCTTAAGTTTAATAGTTTAGTCTAAGGTATTAACATTAATTTCAGTCTTATTACTAAGGAATAGTTAAGTGTTTTCAACAAATCTACTGTAATCAGGGATTATTTCCAACTGTCCACAGAATATGTACTTGTTTTTAAAAGTTCAATCCTAATAGAAATCTAGTAATTAGTAATATAATCTGGCCTGAGGGAAAAAATTAGTTTTGGATTCTAAAGAATGTTCATACCTTGTAATGCTTAATCTTTGAAGATCTCTGCTCTGTAGATTTTCTTCCTGAGATAAATCCTGTCAGTTATTTAAAAAAGAAAAGTTGAAAATATTGTATTTTATTCTAGCACTTTATGAGATATTTCCAGTTTTACAGAGCACATCTAAGGCTAAACAGCATAAAATCAGATTTAATTTTAATAAAATGTCGCCAGTGCATTCCAGGTATTTTTAAGTCACTTCCAATTACTTTAAAAATGTGTGCTCAAAAGAAAACAATCTAAATATACAAAAAAATGAAAATACTTGTTAAATTACTTTTCCTACATAGGGTAAAGGTGAATACCATAAAGAAAGGAAATTTACTCAGTTTCGATTTTTTGGGGGGTAGGGTATTTTGGGGTCTCACCTGGTGACGCTCAGGGATTACTCCTGGCTCTGCACTCAGGACCATATGGGATGCCAGGGATCGAACCCAGTCTACTGCATGCAGGGCAAAAACGTCCTATCTGTTGTACTATCACTATTTAAAAAGTTGGAGCTGCAGCAGCAATATTACAGTGGATAGGGTGCTTGCCTCACACATAGCTGTGGCCAGCCTGAGTTATTCCCAGCACCCTATATGGTCCCCTGAGCATGACCAGGAGTGATCCCTGAGCACTACCAGGTAGTGAAAAGTACCAAAAATTTAACTGGTTATTGTTTGAATATAATAATCGGATAAAGATTTTATGAAGTCCTTATAAAGGTATATTAAAAAGTTCATTACATTTTAATAGCTTAGATAATAGATATGACAACATAAGACACTTAAATGTGGACTTAGAATGTCTGACAATTCTAGTATATTTGCAGTGCATTTTCTCAAGAATCTCTTAACATGAAAAAGAATATTCATTTCACAGTATTATTACAAATTCTATTGACAGAAGTGACCAGTGAAAACAAAAAAACCCTCAAATTTTACAATTTCTTACTATGTAATTAAAATATGCTCTTTTTCTTTTCGATGGGGTATGCTTTGGGTTGTACCCAGCTTTTCATACACAGCTGTGACCAAGGCTTACTCTTGGCTGTGCTCCAGGATCATTTCTGGCAGTGTCAGAGATCATATTCTGGCATTGAACCTGGGAAAGCAATGTGCAAGGCAAGTTCCTTACTTGCTATACTATCTCTCCTTCCAAACCTTAAATTATATTTTATGTTTTGGGATGTTTTGTTTTGTTTTGTTTTATGAGCCATGTCCTGAGATGCTCAGGGGCTACTCCTGATAGTGCTCAGGGGCTGGAGGTGGGAAGGATAGGGCCATAAGGAATGCTGGAGATTAAAATGGGTTGGCCATGTGCAAGGTAAAGGTACTACCGTTATGGCCCTCTTCAATTTTATTTTAAAGTAGAACATTAAAAAGCTGCACCAGAACTTCATGAGTATAAGTAAAATATGAAAAATGTTTGTCATTATAAAATTTAATACACTTCTTGATCTTGGTTCGGAAAATACCAATTAAGATAATTTGTTTTTTTTGAGGGACACAATGCAGCAGTGCTCAGAATTTACTCCTGTCTTTGCTTTCAGAGATTCTTCCGTTACTGTTGAGGGGACCAAACTGAAGTCTGTAGCATGCAAGGCAGGTGTTTGAACCAAGTGCTATACTATCACTTGACCTAAAAAAAGGCCCTCCCGTTGATCATCGATTTGCTAGAGCGGGCCCAGTAACGTCTCCATTGGAGACTTTGTTGTTACTGTGTCTGGCATATTGAGTACGTCATGGGTAGCTTGCCAGGCTCTGCCATGCGGGCGAGATACTCTTGGTAGCTTGCCGGGCTCTCCGAGAGGGGCGGAGGAATCGAACTCGGGTCGGCCATGTTGGCTGCGTGCAAGGCAAACGCCCTACTGCTGTGCTATCGCTCCAGCCCACTTGGCCTAACCAACTGAAATACTTTGTAATAATTAAGTGGCAAGTAAGAAGGCCTATCAAGATTAGAAAGAACTGACCCATGAATCAGTAAAAGTTTGAGTACTGGACACAAGATTTTGGGTATTTCTCTTTCCTGTTCTCTACAATAAATAAGGTCAGTCAACTTTTGGGTTTTTTTTTAATAACACTTTAAATATATACATCACACGTATTTCACATTTATGCACACACATATGTAGTGGAACATTTTGGAAGTCAACTTGTAAAGCCATTTTTAAAGCTATTATATGGAAAAACTGTAAGAATCTTTGAAGTATACACTTTCTCTTTTAATTGTTTTGTTTTTAGGCCACACCTGGTGGTACTCAGGACTTAGTCCTGGCTGTGTATTCAGAGATTACTCCTGGCAGGAGGACAGGGAACTATGTCAAGTGATGGCGATGGAACCCAGGTCAGCCACCTGCAAGGCAAACACCCTATCTGATATATACTATTCATTAATTTGGCCCCTACATTATTTTTTGAAGCCAGTTATATTTAAAAATTTTAATTTGGGGGATGTAAAGGTATTTTTTCAAATTACTGCCTAACAATTCAGAAAGGCTAAAGTAAGTGAGAAATATAAATGTCTCTTAGTATTCCAAGATTTGGTCGGTCTTAGTTGGCCACTAGTTTACCACTGTACAGGTAGTTAAGAATTTGTTTCCCCAAAAGTGCCATATGTTGTGGGAGTTTCACAGAGACCAATGGCTCCAAAATGACTGGGAAACAATAAGAAGTTTCCTTACTACATACTTCAGAACTTTCAGTAAACTCTAACACACTGTGAGTCAGTCTCTTATGGATTAAATTATTAAGTAATTAGGATATCTCCACCAATCCCATTGTACTCATCCAAAGTTTCTTTTTGTTAGTCCCAGAGTCTGTTTTTTGCAAAGGCTGTAAGACTGAGGGATACAGGCCTTAAAGCAGCAGAGTGGAACTGACACTGAACCCCAATGATCACATTAATACCAAACACTAATTATCTAAGTTCATCCAATACCGGGCCAGAGCAATAGTACAGGGAAATATGTGTCATTACTAGAAAAACACAAAGGGCCAGAGGGATAGTACAGCAGGTAGGGCACTTTACCCAGCTGGCACCCCGTATGGTCCTCTGAGCACTGTAAGGAATGATCCCTAAGCACAGAGCCCCTCTAGGAGTGGCCCAAAAATCAAAATAATATGATGTAAACATAAGATACTATTTCATATTTAAGATGTTTTTAAATGTTCAATAGTAAGGCCTTTAGGTCTCTGTAAGTTGTACCCTCAGTAGATGTAAGGAAAATTATTAATGTGAACATAAATAGAGCCCGTTGTTTCATTCCCATGTCCATGGGGAATCTGATCTAAAACCTTTAACCAAGATTTCAAATTACAAATACCCCAAAAATCAAGATTTCAAATTGGAACGCTTGATAAATTGATAGAAGGGATTTTTCCTCTTTCTGGTTTTCTTTGTATTAGTTGTGGGCACTGGGCAGAGGAGGCCCGGGATCGAACCTAGGTTGGCCAATATGCAAAGCAAGTACCCTGTCTATGTCCTATCTCTCTGGCCCCATTCTGAGTATCTCTTAACCCCCACCCCCATGTCCCCGCACTTATCTACAAAATCCAATACTTCTGGTAGTAGAGACTATCCTGTCTGGGGGGAAAAAAAATCTACATTTATTGTACTTTCAGCCTTTCAAGCTTCTTAGTTTCCCAGACCCTTTTATTAGTAAAAGAAATGTCGTTTCCAGAGTTTGCTGAAACCATAAAAGTCTTATTCCTATGATTTATGGCAGATGAATTAAACTAAGAGCAAATCTACTCCTTAGCACCATCTAGTGGAATAGAGTAAGGTTAGAAATGAAAATATGCGTACAAACAATATACATACCTTAGGAACACTGCTTTTCTGGACTGCCCTAGTTGATGTTTTTTTGAACAACAATCACTTTACTAAATTGATTTTGTGCTGGGCACTATTTGTCTAATCTTCATGAAAAGAAAGGTGTTAAATGCTAGGTAAAGGTAAAGGCCCTCCCGCTGATCATCGATTTGCTCGAGCGGGCCCAGTAACGTCTCCATTGGAAACCTTGTTGTTACTGTGTTTGGCATATCGAATACGTCACGGGGAGCTTGCCAGGCTCTGCCGTGCGGGCGAGATACTCTCAGTAGCTTGCCGGGCTCTCCGAGAGGGGCAGAGGAATCGAACTCGGGTCGGCCATGTTGGCTGCATGCAAGGCAAGCGCCCTACCACTGTGCTATCGCTCCAGCCCTGTTAAATGCTAATGTAGCAGAAAACAAGTACAGAAGTTAAATGACTTAATTTTACATTGTTACTCAGTAACAACATAATTATAAGCCAAATTTTTATGATTTCAAGGTAACTGCTTCCTCCCCTCTAGGGGACTAACCATTATATGCAAAAGCTATAGGACTTTTTCAAGTACAAGTACAGTGACTAGTAGAATTCAGAGCTTCAACATAGAGCTTTATTTCAAGGACACTATTTATTATTGCTTTGTTTTAGGTCACACCTAGTGGTGGCTCCAGGGTTTACTCCTGGTTTGGTGCTTGCTCCTGGTGTGGTGCACAGGGCACGATGTGGTTTTAGTGATGGAACCCTGCCTTATCCACTAAGCAATTTTCTTTACCACCACCTCTCTTCCCCCCCGCCCCCCATCAGATGACGGTAAGGGATTACTCCTGGCTCTGCTAGCAGCCCAGGGGACCATGTCAGTGCGCCGGGGGATCAAGCCTTGGTAGGCCAAGTGAAAGACAAGCACCCTACCTGTTGTACTACTGCTCTGGCCACCCCACCAGCCGTTTTTTAGTCTCTTCGGTACATGGCACATAGACTTGTGAGACAGGGTGCTGGAAGCCTTTGAGGGAACTGTGATAAGTGGTTATAGGTTCAAAGCTGTAAATAATCAAATTCAGCTGTCAAGTAGGGGAAAAAAGAAAACCAAACATTTGGAATCTGTTAAGTATAAGTTGAGTAATTTTTGTAGTATTTCCTCCTCCTGAGGTTTAAGGACCAAAGCAAGATCATTCAATTCAGAGGTATTAGTTTGATCAAGGCAGAATCTTTATTGTTAATATGTCTCATTCTTAACCAACGAGCAGTGACATCATTGATAATGACTATATGGGGCAAAAAAAGTATCAGTTCTACGGACACTTGGGACTCATGGACAGAGTCATGATAGAAGCTTGGAAGTGTGGGAAAGATCTTGAGTAGATGTTACAGCTCAATATTTTTGAAAGCTCTGAAGGGTAAAATGGTTGAGAAATAATAATGAACTGCTTCCCATAGCTTAAAATACTTGGGTGCATATAATGTACATAATTTCAAATTGGCTTCAAACTACTAAGCTTTTCAATTTCTTGAAAGAGCTATTTTAAACTTTACATTTGGGGCCAGAGAAACAGCTGTAGATAATGCTTTGCAAGTAGGAGACCAAGTTTACTTGCTGGCACTAAATGGTTCCTGAGCACTGCTAGGTGATGTCCTGCCCAACACAGCTGAGAGTAGGGCCTGAGCAGTTTTTAGCATGCTTCCCCCCTTATCCCACAACAGAACTTTCCATTTGTTCATTATTTTCACATTCCCCTGCTCTCAATTTTTTTTTATGCATGACATTTGAAAACATGTTTCCAAGTTTATCAGAACCCAAAGTAAAGCATTTGTAAATTACCCTTTGGTTTAGAATCCGAAAAAACTTGTGTTTTATTGACTGACTAGGGGAACTACATTTTGACTGGCTGGAAAAAGTTTGTTTTGCCTCCCACATATGATCTTGCCTTGCACATGGCTGATCCCTGACATCCTTTGCCAGCAGTAAACCCTGAACAATGACAGGGTTGGCTCCAAAAATAAAAAAAATAAACAAGAAAAAAGAGAGAGAGAGAGAGAGAGAGAGGGAGAGAGAGAGAGAGAGAGAGAGAGAGAGAGAGAAAGAAAGAAGAAGAGAAGGCTTAAAGAAAAGTTTACTTCTGTGGTATATATAAATCAACCAAATGATTACTTTAAAGTAGAAAAGGTAAAATTTGAGTTCACTTTAAACCTTATAGGAAAAAAACAAAGAAAATTATAAAGGTAAAGGTAAAATCAAGTTAAGTTTTTTAGAGAATGAGAGTAGTCACAATCCATGTTAACTCTACGATTTAATAGTTTGAAAACCTCATATGATACACACAGATACTGAATTAATCAATTTACTAATTGTGCAGTACCGTTTGTTTGGTTTTTTGTAGCTCGATTTTGAGATCGCTACATTCTTTCCTCATCAATTCCAGTTCCTGTTCCAAACCATGGATCCTCAGGTCACAGCTCAACTTTTCTACCTCCCAGTTTGATGAAGGTGGATTTAAATTCCTTATCACTACAAAAATGATGGACATTAAAATAGTTATTTTTGCCCTTCACATAGCAAGTAAAAAAAAAAAGGTTTTAGTGGTAAAGTGTAGATATAAAAACAGATATAAAACATATTTTTGAATACTAGTTTTTAGAAACATATTCCTGGCCTTTTTAAGTCAGTATGGAATGTAAAAAGATGCGACACTAAATCAAGCGTATGCTAAATTATAGACACATCGATTGTTATATAAGGTTCAATTAAGAAAATGCTAAAACACTGAGTCACAGGCTCACTCAAGCTAATCATTCCACTTGGTCCTTTCAGAATATAAAATATGACAGCTAGCAAGCCAAGAACATGAGATCAAAAGAATCATACAAAAAAATATTCTATATAGGAGTGAAATACAAATGGACATGAACTTATACTTGAATTAGTGCTTTTTCTATCTAGAAAAAAAAGTCCTAAACAGTTACCATAACATATTTCATTTCAGGCCCTACGTACCACTCTGGGGCAAAACTGGGTAATCCCCAGTTTTGCAAGGTCCTCACAGAAATTCACCCATCAGCCTTGCATTGAACCTCTGACGTGGTTGGCCAAGAACTGCCCAAAGTAGTTGGTATTCTTTGACACTGCTTGAAAAGTATCGCCAGCTATTGACTCCCACCCTCTAAAAATATCTCAGCCTCTATCAAAAGATCTGTTACTTGCCAACTCTTTAGTTTTTCTCATCAGAATGCATGGTAACTAAATAGCCATGCTCTCCCAGAACAAATTTTTCATCCCAACATCTCATCTCTTAACAGTCTTCAAAAGAAAATGATGACTGTAACTTCATAACACTATGTCTGACAATGGATATAAAGTTCAACTGGAAGTGAAACGCCAGAACACACCAGTCAGCAACAGACTTTGACAAGACAGGGTTCTACTCCTCTTTTCATCTATTTCGTCACAAACTAGTGTTGAATAAAACCGTCAATTTTAATTTTAATCTAAAGAAAAGTTAAAGGAATGGATACAATGTGAAAGTAGAAGAAAAATTAATACAAGCCTAAAGTATGTTAAGATCTTAACACTGCGATACAGAAAATGTATCAAGGATATGACACATGAATGGAAGAGGGAATTAATTCTAATGGAGAATATTTATAACATGTAAGTGGCATACCCTGCTGAGTTTCCACCTCTGTCCTTAGTTGGAGGAGTTCTACTTCTTTAGATTGTAGTTGTTCATTCAATAGTTTCAAAGATTCAGAGTTGTCTTTATTCTGAATTAAGCAGGAAAACGCCAAATTAAATTCAATAAAATCTGCAGGCTAGTATTATATATTATTTTCAAGAATATGTTGAAAAATCTCTTGTAAGACTGAAATAAACTTATTTTCGCACTAATTTCTACTCTTTTCTAACAATATTATTCACTGGCTTTTTAGTTTTTAAACACAATGACAATTTCTACCAAATTGCAGTGTTTCAAAGTAAGTTAGTGGTGTTAGGTGTACCTAAGTCCTAAAGGCCATTACTTATGCTGTATAAAAATAAATTATAAATTTCACTATTAAAATGTGGTTTTAACCTTGACTAAATATTCAAGTTTGTTTCATAAATATAAATACTTCATTTCTAGCCTGAACACTGGAAGAAAATGCGTTTGTAAAATATAGATAACATTCTTTACAAACCAACTTACCATTTTGTCCAATTTGCTCTTTAAATTATCTCTATCAATGCAAACTTCTCGATATGCATGATAGGCCTTATTTACTTGTTCTCGTCCCACAGGACTTGTTTCTTCATCAAATCGAGCTCCTATAAGCTAATGGTATAACATCAGAAGAGAGAGTTTAAGGAAATATTCTACATTAAAAAAACGTGTTCACAGCTTAATCACTAAATTGTAGGGATAAAGCCTGAACTCAATTAAATGAACTCTGCCACACAAGGAAGTTTTATTAATTAAAGAAGCACAAAGGTAAGTCTTTTATGCTTTTTATTCAGTATTTTATACATTGTTTTATAACATATCAATTCATCATACTCAAACAGTACATAATTTGTGTTTTCTAAGCCATTTATATTCATTTCCATTACCAATAAAAATAAAATATTGTTCCCTGACTTATTAAGGATTCAATGTACCAGTTTAATAAGTCTTACATTATTCTAGAATAGTAATTCAAAGGATTGTTAGTCAGAAAATATTTAACTATTAACTATACCAGATTGCATATTTACTGAACTTAGCTCCAAATAAACATAGCTCCAAGCTTCAAGTATTAGCTTTTTTATTCTAGTGTATCAAAATTTAATTACAAAAAATCCATATGAATGCAAATTATTTTTATAAGCGATTTCCTTTTCCTTCCTCCAAATGAAACAAACTTTATCGGCCCCATCATTAAGTTTTTTATAATAAGATGATTTTCTTAACTGCAAATCCATTCTTCCCACAATGAGCAAACCTTGTAAAATATGAATACATTAATTTAAAACTTGAACTAAAAGTTTAGAATTAAAAAAAAAATAGATATGTGAAGACTTCACAAGCCAAGAGATTTGGTGATTCATAAATGATCAGCTACTTTGTTTTATTACTATATTCTCTAACATTTAGGAATGCCAGTTTAAGGAACATGCTTTGCATGTGTTCAACCCTGGTTGAATCCCAGCACCACATGCATCAAGTACTGCCCTGGAGACCCCCAAAAGCACCATTTGGGAGACCAACCCCAGAAGCCATCAAAAAACAAAGCATAACTCTGTTTCCACATGCAAGGACCACAACCAGGTATCTATGTGATGTACAGTCACCAAAACAAGAATAAAAGGAAGAAGAGGAGAGAATTGAAAAAAAAGTCCAGATGAAGAAATTAAACAGAACAATGTCCAAGTAGTTTCTATGACACTTAAATAGTTATGAGGATAAGGTACCAAAAAATGTTAGAAGAAATATCTGAAATATATCTTCTCTAAGTTATGTTCTACATGTATTCATCAAGCCTATGACATGGAAAATAATGTAATAATTACAATCTTATGAGTACTGCTGAGTTATTCTTGGAAATTTATTATAATCTTCTAAGATAAAAAAAATTCTTTGCCATTAAACATAGTTAAAGTTTTACATAATTACCTTTTCTTCCAAAATTCTTATCCTTTTCTTTAAGAAGGAATTTTCTTTCTCTGAATCCTTAAGTCGTTTTTTGATGTCTTCATATGCAGTGACAAGAGCAAAATGGGAAGCAACAGACTCATCCCCTGAATATATTGAGACTGGAGTATCTCTCCTATGGGCTTTTTCATGGTTCAAAATGCAGATATCATCTTCTACCAGTGCATCCATGACAGCTATGTAAAAATAAAAATATACAATGAGTAAATGGCCAGAGATTATGGACTTAAAATAATGTCAATGTTGGAGACATGTTTCATTTAGAGAAAATACAGCACAATAGTAAGCAAGAGCATGGACTCCAAAAACAGACTTCTTACGTTTGAATCTACCCATGACTACACAGTGTCTGTGTGACTCTGGACAAACTGCCTAACCTTTTTGCTTCAGTTTCTTAATTTGTCAGCTATTCAGTATAATACCAACTTCATCACACCCTTTGTTGTTTTGGGAGCATACCCGGCAGCCTCGGAGCTTACTCCTGACTCTGTGCTCAGGGATCACTTGAGGCAACAAACATGGGCACTTGTGGGTCGGCCCCTTGCAAGGCAAGCATGTTGCCTGCTATACTATCTCTCTAGCCATTCTCATAGAATTCTTAAAAATATGAAACAAGTTGACATAATACAATTAAAGTTGTAATATATGATAAATTTTACTAAAAGTTGTTGAAGATCACTGTATTAAAGATAAAATACAATTTAAACTTCACCCAGTATTTCATTCTTATCAACATTTCCATTTTAGTCTTACAGCTTCCCAAATCATACATTTTCAAAAACATTTTTAGTGCATTACATCATATTACAGAAGTTATAATGCATAATCTACAAAATCATTCCAAACCAAATGTTTATTGTATATTAGAACCTAGTTTCTTAAGCTGTGGTTCACAATCCCATACCTGAATGGACAAACAAAAAGTTTTTATTTTAAAACTAAAGGTAAAGGCCCTCCCGTTGATCGTCAATTTGCTCGAGCGGGCCCAGTAACGTCTCCATTGGAGACTTTGTTGTTACTGTGTTTGGCATATCGAATACTATCGGTAGCTTGCCGGGCTCACCGAGAGGGGTGGAGGAATCGAACTCGGGTCGGCCATGTTGGCCGCTTGTAAGGCGAACGCCCTACCGCTGTGCTATCGCTCCCCCGGCTAATTTGTGATTATCAGTAAATTTTTTATTTATATCTATTTTATAATCAGGGTTCACAAAAAATTGTGTAGTTGAGTAGTGAGTGGAACAAGCTTAAGCTCTGCATTAGAAAACAAATGAATTAACATTTGACTATACTATGCCCTAAGTACTATGTATACAGTAAATTTCTAATATTTACATCATTTAAATTCACCCAAACAATTCAATAAGATAGGCATCACTTTATTATGGGGTCACATCTGGAAGACTAAGGGCATACTTCTGGCTCAGGGATCACTTCTTGTGGGCTCAGGGGATTAAATGGGGTGTGAGGGACTGAACCTGTATAGGCAATGTGAAAGGCAAGTACCCTAATCTTTGCACTGTACTATATCTCCCACCTGGTATCATCTAAATTTTATAAGATGGGGTTGGAAGGGAAAGTAATCTGCCAAAGTTAAAAATGGTAATAGAATAGTAGCTCTTGAAAGTGGAGGTTATAGCTGTGTTGAGCATCATTGTGTCTTCAACTCATCACAGTATCGAGGGTGCTTAATAAATATTGGCTAGAGAATGCAAAGCAGACAGACTGGCAATCAAGCACAACACAACCCCAAAACCTAAGTCAGTTACTTCATTAGTTGGTGAGCAATTTGCTTGCACTTCCATTTACTTGGGTTAGATTTGTCATTACTTACCCATGTGAAAGTTATGTTCCAGGAAAACAATGTATAGGAGAAATTGAGGGAGAATTTTTTAAGACTGTATAGGGAGAACAGCATAAGAGGGTTTGCAAGTTCCAAGTAAAAAAATCATTAAAAATATATTGAGCCATAGACCTCGATGAAACACCATGCACAAAAGTCAGATCAAAATGGATTAAAGATCTCAACATTAGGCCAAAATCCGTAAGATACATTGAAGACAAGGTTGGCAAAACCCTCCACGATATTGAGGCTAATGGTATCTTAAAAGACTGACCAACCGAGTGGAAATAGAGATAAACAAATGGGACTATCTCAAAATTAAGATGCTTCTGCACCTCAAAAGACACAGTAACCAGAATACAAAGACAGTCTACAGAATGGGAAAGGATATTTACCTAATACCCATCTGATAAAGAGTTGATAGCAAGCACAAAGCACTGGTTGAACTCTACAAGAAGAAAATATCTAACCCCATCAAAAAATGGGGTGATGAACAGAAACTTTCCCAAAGAAGAAATCCGAATGGCTAAAAGGCACATGAGAAAATGTTCTACATCAATCACTAATCATCAGGGAGATGCAGATCAAAACAACAATGAGATCTCATCTCACACCACAGAGACTGGCCCACATCCCAAAGAACAAAAGCAACTGGTGCTGGTGCGGATGTGGCGAGAAAGGGACTCTCCTTCACTGCTGGTGGGAATGCTGACTGGTTCAGCCCTTTTGGAAAACAGTATGGACTATTCTCAAAAAAATTAGAAATTGAGCTCCCATTTGACCCAGCAATACCACTACTGGGAATATATCCCGGCGAGACAAAAAAGTACAGTCGAAATGACACCTGCACTTCTATGTTCATTGCTGCACTATTCACAATAGTCAAAATCTGGAAAAAACCTGAGTGCCTGACAACAGATTATTGGTTAAAGAAACTTTGGTACATCTACACAATGGAGTACTATGCAGCTGTTAGAAAAGATGAAGTCATGAAATTTACATACAAGTGGTACTACATGGAAAGTATCATGCTAGGCGAAATGAGCCAGAAAGAGAGGGACAGACATAGAAAAGTTGCATTCATCAGGGAAATATAAAGTAACAAATTGGGAGACTAACTCCCAAGAATAGCAGAGATAAGTACCAGGAGGTTCACTTCATAGCTTGGAGGCCAGCCGCACATACTGAGGGAGAAGGCAGCTCAGATAGAGAGGGGAGCACTAAGTAAAGGGTGTTGGCAGAACCCTCCCAGGATGAGAAATGCATGCTGAAAATAGACTATAGACCATACATGACAGCCATTCAATGCCTCTTTTGCAAACCACGGCACCCAAAAGGAGAGAGAACAAAAGGGAAAGAAGCTGAGAGCATTGGAGGTGGGGAATGGGCACCCGGGGAGGGATGGGTACCCAATAATTGTATAACTGAAACCCAAGCACAAAAATTTGTAAGTCTACAACTGGACCTCATGGTGTTTCACTAATAAAAATTTAAAAAAATAATATATATATATATATAGAGAGAGAGAGCGAGAGCGAGCGCACCAGAAAAGAGTACAGAAGTTAAGGTGCTTGCCTTGTTGCAGCTGACCCTAGTTCCATACTTGGAACAGCATAAAGATCCCAGGATGGAGCACCCAACCCCCCCACAACCAAAATAGGCTCTTAAAACACTACAAATAGCATCCCAGAGACTATCAGTGGAATTTCATGTATAATAAATTAGTAATTAATAACTACTGACTTTATAAGAATGCTTATCAGATGGACAGAATTTTTTCAAGTGGAATCATTACCTACATATACTGAAAAACAAAAGAGAAGCATAAACTGTTCTATACGGTCAATCCTGAAGTACTACAGTTTATGCACTTAAGGTTCAGTCTTCTTATATGCTTTTGTTTTTAACTAGTTCGGCTCTGTAATTTCCTGAAGGAATTTTTTACCAAGGAAGGAAAACCAAAGTGGAAGACAACTATAAAGTAATATCAATTAAAAATTTCTACAGACCTGGACATAATTCAAGATTGTCAAGAATACTAATAAATTCGTATCATATATTCACAAGCAAAAGAATCAATTTTCTAATTGTCTTACAGACAGTGTGCTACTTAATTCATACCACTGCCTTTAGTTAGGAAATCTTTATTACACCTCTTTCACAGATGTGAAAACTAGGATCTAGAAAGGTCATTAAGCTTAGCCAGTACTAGATACTGAATATATACAGCACATGTACTTGGATTACAAAGTCTGAGTTATTAGTATTCTTTTCCTCCCAATGAATTTTTTATACATTTAATTCAAGAACTATGACACTAGAAACACCTTGGCAGTTTGTGAGTACCCCAGATGGAAGAGGGTATATTGATAATAACAATGGCACATTTTACATATCTGGTCATTTTTAGGGCAAAATGAATAGTTTAGTTGACATATTTTTATATAGGTTGCCTATCTCATTCATGAATTCAGCAAAAAGTTGCCCATGATGGTTTCTAAATATACTGAATCATAATTTGTATATTATGAACATGGCTTATACACTATAACGCATGAGAACTGTTTGTCCTAAAACCTATAATAGACATATATTAAAGCACAACCATTAGAAAACAAATTGCATCACCCCTAACTATATGCAGTTTTTCTCACTTGAAAAATCATTTCTAGGGCTAAATGGCTCCGGAGTGAAATACAACTATCTTCACACACTTTCAAGTAAGGAAATTTTGGGGATAATTTTTAGTGGATTATTCATAACAAGCAATACAAAATAAATTATTTAGATACTGAAAAAAAGGGTTTGGAGGTCGGGCTGGAAACATTCAAAATATGGTGGTGAGTAGGTTTAAGGGCGGTAGGCGTGGTGTTAGAATATTAAATGTGACAAATTACTGTGAACAACTTGTTTGTTTGTTTTGCTTTTTGGGTCACACCTGGCTCTGCACAGGGGTTACTCGCTCTGCGCTCAGGAATTACTCCTGACGACGCTCAGGGAACCATACAGGATGCTGGGAATTAAACCCGAGTCAGCCACGTGCAAGCAAACGCCCTACCCACTGTGCTATTTCTCCAGCTCCACTGTGAACAACTTTATAAAAATAAAATAAAATTTAAAAATATCACGGTCTTTAACATCATTGTAAAAAACAATTTCTGTCCTTTAAAAACAAACATGAACAGACCAAGTATTAGGAATACCATGTTGTATTTGTCTATACAAAATATGTTTCTAGAGATTAAAACCTGAAGGGCAAGGAAAAATGAGGATCTTAGTCACCTAATTATATAATAACTAGGTGTCTAATTATATAAGGGAGATATTCCATTGTATCAATCACGACACTAAGAGAAAACTGCTATCAAAGAAAAACAAAATAGGCTATGTGTTTTTACACATTGTCTAATTTGTTTTTCTTATTGTTTCTAGAAACTTTGGTCACTGTCACGGTCCTCCCGCTGTTCATCGATTTGCTAGAGCGGGCCCAGTAACGTCTCCATTGGAGACTTTGTTGTTACTGTGTTTGGCATATCGAATACATCACGGGTAGCTTGCCACTCTGCCGTGTGGGCGAGATACTCTCGGTAGCTTGCCGGGCTCTCCGAGAGCTATAGCACAGCGGTAGGGCGTTTGCCTTGCATGCAGCCAACATGGCTGACCCAAGTTCGATTCCTCCGCCCCTCTCGGAGAGCCCGACAAGCTACCGAGAGTATCTCGCCCTCACGGCAGATACTCCAATTCGAGTAGGCTTGGAGATCTCGGCCCCGGAACCCACGTGGCTTTGTCCCTCTGCTGATACCTTCAGGTGTGCGGAGAGTGGTCTCAGCATGGTGGTGGCTGGTCCTGGAGGTCTTCGGCTGCCAGGGCCCTGGCCAGGGCGGGGAGGAAAGCTCAACCCGAGCTTTTAGTAATATTATTTTAGTAATATTTGGTAATATTTTAGTAATATTCAAAGAAATTGGCTCAGAAAGCCTAACTCACTTTCATACTTAACAAAAGTACATCACACTTGAATATACATTTGGGAAAACAAACTTTATACTGTGTATAATCTTTTTACTATAAATTATATAGCTTTTCCTTTTTTTTTGTTTTTGAGTCATATCATCTGGAGGTGCTCAAGATAGACTTGTGGTTCTGTGCTCAGGGATCACTCCTGTTGAGTCCGGGGACTCATATGTGGCACCAGGGACTGAACGCAGGTCAGTCACATGGAAGACAAGCAGCCTACACAATTACCAGCACTCTGGCCCAACTTAAAGTATCTTAACATAACAAACTCGTGTTTTAATGTATGTACTGGCAAAATATTATCAAAGATCAGAATTATCAAGAGAATTGATATTTGTAAAAACCCAGCCAAAAATTTTTTTTAAAAGTTAAACATATTTCAAACATATTAACCAAATACAAGGTAAGTGGCTTCTCTCCATCAAGAAAATGAAGCTACTAGGACATGCAACAAATAATTTTTTTTTTCAAAATAATTTAAGAAACTGGAAATACCTGGCTTATTTCATAGTGCAGTCTGCAATGCAACCCATAACATCTCTGAATAATGCTGTACTAAAGTTATTATAGAAAATCTTAAGTTTCAGTCTTCAGTATAATCAACACTGACATTGTTGAGATATATACAATGGGATGTGAGATTCTAGAAAACACAGAAATATTTTCTGACCCATATTAATCTTTAATATTAATCTTTACTACTGCAAGAGCAATAGTACAGTGGGTGGGGCGCTTGATGATTTGAGTTTGATCCAGATCCAACACCATATAGTCCCCCACTAGGAGTATTCCCAAGTGCAGAGCCAGGAGTAACCTTAAGCATTGCCAAGTGCAGTGCAAAAATTAAAAAAAAAAATTAACCTGTAATAATTCTTCATGTCTATCTTTATTGATCACTTATCACATGCCAGGCTCCACATGCATTTTCCTAATTCTTAGGCAACTATTATTCAAATTAAGTCTAGACAAAAATATCTTCAGAAATATCTTATATACAGCTACAAAAGTACTCACTGGCACGGTCTATATGGGAACTTTGATAACTTGTCTTACAAATTTATGCACTAAATATATTTTGAAGTTAACAGAACATTATTCCAAAATGTACCTGGGAAAGGCAGAACTCAATACTGGAACAATAACCTGGGAGTCAGAAACTTAGATTCTGTCTACAATCCGCTGCTTTAAAACTGATTAGTTTCCTTTTCTGGATCTAAAATTTCTCATCAATAAAATAAGAACATTGGGTTGCAGCAGTAAAATGCTACCGGTTTAAATAAGAAAGGTAGAATTTATACAAAGAATACTAAAACAAAGGGGAATTCCTATTTCAGCCTTTTGATTCAGAGGTACAGTGCATATATTACCTCTTGTGCAACAGTAAGTTGATGAGAAAAGTATTATCAAAATCATAGATGAGGTAACCAAGCTCACAGAAGCAAAATAATTTGCCTATAATTACACTGGGGTTATGTAACAAATTTAGGATTTGAATCAAAGGCTACTTAGTCTTTTCATTTTATATTGTCTCCTAAAACAAATCTTATTTAGAATTCCCATGATCTTTTTTTGGGGTAGGGCAGGAAGTTTGGGCAGGGGTGACAATATAGACCTAGCAATGATCAGAGATCACTCATGGAGGAGCTCAGGGTATCAGATTTAGCGCCAGGGGTAGAAACCAGGTCCCCACTTGCAAGGCATCAAACCCAGGTTCATCACTGTACTAATTCTCAGGATCTCCTAACATCTTTCTTACCCCCAGTATCCATTTCAAACAGTCAAGATAATATGTGTAGGATTAAGTTTTATCCTCTTTCACTGTTTTCAAATAAGGGAAAGAATGTCCTCATTAGTTAAAATGATAAAGAGCTAAAACTCAACCTGACATGTATTTTTTCCCAAGATACTGCCACTTTAGCACTCCTTATAATTTGGCGAATGCCCCCCTCCCCCTCGGAATTAGCATTAGATACACGGTACACCTTTTAATTTTATTTGATTTTAATGACATGGTTGAGTTAGCTCAGGAAAGAAATTAGCCCAGGAATCAGTTTGTATGATTAGGGAATCAAAGGCTCTTGCAGGTTAGCACAGATATGAAGAGCAGTCTACCTCTTGTCATTCCTTTTATGAATACATCTCAGTGCACCAATTATAAACACGATGTCACAAGAAGTTACCTATATTACTGTGTTAAGATTAGCATACTCAATCCAGATTCTAAGAACAAGACTTTTTTAAAGTTACATTTGTTCATAACTTCAATGATTATCAAAATTTCCGTCACATTTTAATGAGTGTTCTGTGCTCTGATAAGTGTTCAATGTGCTTTCCTTTTTCGGGCAACTATCTCATCTGCTCTTTATGATTCATTAAATCTGTAGCAGAACTCTAAGATAGGGAAGAATTTCCTGTTATCAGGGGTGCCAATAAAGAAAATCTGCCAGTTGCCTCTAGTCTTTAGCTCCTTGGAGTAAGCATTATGCATCTTAGAGATGTGGAAAAGGAAGAAGTATTTCTTTAGCCTCCTAACCCCTGTGTATTGATTTTATGGAAAACTCAGCGTTTGGATGGTATGTGAATGTTCTTACTTGCTCTTGGGTGCACCTCTGCTGACTCATTAATATTAAAGCTTTTCATTCCTATGCAACTTTCCATTTCTCAAAGGACACCGCAGTAAAAATTTCTAAGGACCCTAGTGTGGTCCTTAGCATTTTTCCCACGCAGAGACGATGAAGGAACTGAGAGGTTGGGCAACTATGGTGCATTTAGAGAACTGGAGTTTAAAAGAACGCCTGGAGCTCTTCCTCAATACAAGATTCCAACCAACAGCAAAGGGAAAAGTCTCACAGGACTAAGGGGCAAGGGCCAGTTTCGGTCCACAAGACCAAGAGGCAAGGGCCAGTTTCGGTTCACAGACGTCGGCGTCCTTGATCAATTCCGGCAGCGTCCCAACACCACATCCCCGGAGCCCCGGGTCATTTCGAATCCCACTTCCCGCACATTCCCTCACTTTTGAGGCACCCGAGTTCTCCGTTGGGGACGCTGGTGGGCGTGCGCCTACCTGACAGAAGCCACTCAACCCAGGACCCACACACCCACTCCAAACACACAGATTCGACCTCGGGGGGGTGGGGGGGGAGACGCTCGCCCTGCGATCGCGCTGGGCAGGGTGGGCACAGCCCCTCGCCCTTCCTTCCCTTCCCACACGAACGCCGCCTCAATGAATGAGACGCGAAGACCCGTGGAAGCGCCCCCACCTCCCCGATCCCCCGAAACCCGGGCGCGGAAAGGGAAGTTGCACCAGGGAAAGGGACGGATCTGGAGGAGTCTCTGGCACCGGGGCGGCTGGAATAGGCACTAGTCAGAAAAGAATGGGGAGTGGGAGGGGACGGCCTTGAGACGCCAAGTGACACCTGACGTGGATCCTCACAGCAGCAGCAGCAGCAGCAGCCGTTGGGGGAGGGGCCCCCTGCCCTGCCAGCCACCCCCCACAGGCAAAGCGAAAAGCGACTCACCCCGCCGGACTGGTTAAGGACGGCCGCCCACAAGGGCCGCCGAGTTTCGATTTCCCCAGTGCACGGAAACAGACCGAAAACAAACCGGGTCGCCTGGGGGTCACCACGGGCTTCCGGTTTCCTCGAAGACGCCGCCGCTCCCCCGGCGAAGGCAGCCGCTTCGGGAACGCCGCGGAGGGATTCCCATTTCTTCAGCCGCGGCTGCACCGGCAGCGACGCGGCCCCGTCAGTCAGCGGAGACCCAGAGGGTTCCGGAATGAGGCGGCCCCCAGGGGCCGGACCCGGACGGTCAAGCCTCCAGGGAGGGCCCGTTACCCGGCAACGACCGCGCGCGCGGCGCAGGCCTGGCTGGGCCCCGTCCGCGGCGGGCTGCGGCGCGAGCGGCGCGGCGGAGGCGAAGGCCCCCGGCGAAGGGCCCCGAGGAAGAACGTGCAGCGCGCCCCCGGAACAGAGGCTTCCGCGGCCAGGGCTGCGCGAGCAAACCGGAAGTCAGCGCCGGGAGGTGGGCGGGCGTTCGGGTGGCCCGTGCCTGGGAAAGGCGGCAGCGGGAGGAGACCCAGGGACGAGGGGTGGTGCGCGACGTACTACATGTCCCGCGAGTCCCCGCGGCGACTGGCGGAGGCGGAGGCCGAGCCCAAGTTGGGTAAGAGCGTGAATCCCCCGCCCGGCCGGCGCCCCAAGACGTCCCTCCCGGTGACTGTCGCGCGTGTCCTTTTCTAGTGACGGGACCTCGAGCTCGTGTGGTGGGTGTGGGCGCCGCTTAGGAGCGCCCCTGTCGATTATGGGCAGCGCTGTCGCCTCGCGGTCGCCCCGGACCCGGAAGGCGTGACGTTGAGCGCTGAGAGGGGAGGGGGGCGTCTAACACACACATGTACCACCACAGACACACCACATCTGACATACACGTCGCGTCACACACACACACACACACACACGTCTGTGAACCCTGGGAACGAAGAGATTTGGAGTTCGGACGTTGTGTCCAGTTGTCTCCAACTTGTTACCACTTTGCCGGCTGGTGGATTTTGTTTTCTTTTGGGAGGGGCGGGCCGCGCAACCGGACGCGACCCTCTCAAGTTCTAGATTTAATTTTGCGTAGATGAATAAATGAGAGATTGGCAGTTCAAGGAAATTTATCCTCAAGAACCGCCTATTGGCGGCAAATGCCTCCCAACCTTTTTGGAGTGTATTTTTTAATACTGTTAAGTAAGTGGTCCTGTTGGAAGATGGTTTTACACGCCTTTTTTAAATTTCACCTTTCCAACTGGCTGTACCCGCGGGCAGGTTTGTGTCAGTTTCCAAATAAGTTTCTGCTGACAGCTTTGTTAGTGCCCGCTGCACTTGATCTAATGAAAACCCCACCACTACGGCCAGGGATGTGACTCAGAGAAATCCTTTTTTTATAGGAAGCCCAAAGTTCTGCCCGAGGCACCCCATATGACCCCTAAGACGCCTACTTGCTGCACTCCTGGGTGTGGCCCTCGTGGGATCGAGGTCTAATAAGCAGACTGGCCTAGAAGATAATAGGATCTTTAGAAATAGTGTGTTCTAAAGTAATTTGGAGGGTGGGGGGAATGTCACGAGAAGGTGTTTTGGCCACACGCGTCAGTGCTCAGGGATTACTTACTCCTGGCTTTGTGCTCAAGGATCACTCCTGGCGATGCTGGGTAGGTGGCATCCAAGGCAAGTGCTTCAGCAGTCTCCTAAGGTAGATTCTTCTGTTTGGGAGCTACACCTGGCGCTACTTAGGACTTACTCCCGACTCTGCACGCAGGATCACTCCTCTCGGTGCTGAAGCACCCAAGGTTGGATCGTGGCTGCTGCTCTATGCTAGGCAATCACTGTCCTGTCTCTGGACCTCAGTACACTCTTGGAACGTGTGTGGCTCATTAATAGCAATGAAAGAGTTGGTGCCAAAACTCATCAGTTAAAATAACTATTTTCTCATACTAATAATCAGCTTTAGTACCATTTCTTCATCATATTTCAAAACTTTTTCTCTTTCCCATGTCCAGATTGAGTTTTAAGGTAAAGGAATGGTTTTAGTGTAGAGATAAAGAGCAAATTCAAAATAATGCCCAAGCCAAAATAAGCTGGTATCTGCCGCCAGTTTTCCCCTTTTCTGCTCAGATCTCATCTCACACACATACACATACCAGTAATGAACAAAACATATGCAAAAGATTGTAAACTACTTAATGTTCCTTTGCTACTGTATCAAAGCATGAGTACATTTTAAAGCAGCGATCTGCAGACTTGAAAATGCATATCCAATGGAAAGGGCAGACCACTGGTCTACTGCTTTGGTTATAATTTCCTGATCTGTAGCCTGGTATTCAGTGCAGTTGCTATTTCTTGGTTTTAAGAAGTTAACAAAAGCTTATATAAGTCATAAGAATAAAAATTGGAGCCTGAGAGGTAGTACAGCAGGCATGACACGTGCCTTGTACACAGTAGACCCATATTTGACTCTTGGCAACCTTTATGGTCCCCCAGCCTCTCCAGGTGTGATCCCTGATCACAGAGCCAGGAGTAAGTCCTGAAAACTGTTAGGTGTCACCCCAGAAACAAAAATAGACAAAGACAAGAATAAAATTACATAACCTGAACCCTATTTCTAGGAAGAAACAATATACAGTCTGAACACATAGCCTCACTGGGGATTAGGGAAAGGCAGTATCCATTTTTTTAAACAAAATATATTTTACAAAAGGTTCACATCTGAAATTTCATGATAATTTATAATATATTTGATTAGTAGTGTTCTCAGTAGAGCCTGGCAAGCTCCCCATGGCGTATTCCATATGCTAAAAACAGTAACAAGTCTCACAACATTACTGGTGCCCACTCGAGCAAATTGACGAACAATGGGAGGATAGTGCTACAGTGCTGCAGTAGTGTTCTAGTAATCTAATAATACAACAATAACGAAAAGTTTTGGGATTTACATTTTTGGGCACTTTGTTCATTTTTATTGCTGCAGAGTAAATGGATAATATGATCAATTTAAAATATTTTCAAGCACAAAGTATGTTGTTCAAGGAAAAATTAGTACTAAGTTCCTGACTCTTAAAAGAGCACCAATTCACGTGGTTTTCAAGTAAATGAATGCATATGAACACCCAGTCTCACTCAGGGTTTACTCCTGGCTCTGTGCCCAGGGCATATTTTTGGCTATGTGCAAAATACAGCCATCTGTGGTACTAGGAATGGAACTTAGATGAGATGTATTCAAGGAAATTACCTTACCATCTGTACTAGCTCTTCAATTCAAAAGCTTGATGCTTTTCCACAAAGATAACATAAAAGACAAAGATATACCTTACTATTCCTTTCCAATACTACTAAAACTCCTAGATATTGCAATGTACAAAGAATTAAAAGCTATAGATGAAAACGAAACAAGTTTCTGTTTACAGAATCTGGCATCTGTAGATTTTTTTGCTTTTTAAAAAGCAATAGAAATACACCTCGAATTAATAAGAGAATATTTCAAGTTTGGAAGTACAAAATTAATAGACAAAAATCTACCTCTTTTCCCCAAATTGTAAAGAACAAGTGACTTTTGCATTCCAAGACAATACCATTTACTTTAGTAAAAGTAAAGTAAAGGCCCTCCCGTTGATCATCGATTTGCTCGAGCGGACCCAGTAACGTCTCCATTGGAGACTTTGTTGTTACTGTGTCTGGCATATCGAATACTCTTGGTAGCTTGCCGGGCTCTCCGAGAGGGGCGGAGAAATTGAACTCGGGTCAGCCATGTTGGCTGCATGCAAGGCAAACGCCCTACCCGCTGTGCTAACCCCCTAATAAAATACATAATTATAAATATTTATATTTAAAAGTTTTATTTAAAAACTAAAACTGACATATAAAAACTATGAATGCAATATATGGAGACAACAGTTCATATTAATGGGTAGAAAAAAGATGTCAGTCTTTTTTCAATGTAATTTATAGATTAAATTCAAGGCAAGTGAAAATCTTAGGAAGTTCCTTGTAAATATTGGTAAATAATGGTATCTGAGGAAAGTAATAGGACCTAAACTACCCTCCTTCATATAGAATAGATTTTATAGGGAGGTATACTTTATAGTGAATGAAAGTGACCATACAGAATGTAATTCTGACCCCAACAATGATGTGTAGTCTTCCCACACAATAAAGCAATTCTGACACCAAGTTGGTTACCTACTGAGGTATCAAGTACATTATACCTGGAGATAGAGTCAGATCCCACAGATGGAAACTCAGTCCTGTCAAATTGCACCCCTGTACTATCTCTCAAAATTGCACCCCTGTAACTATACATTATACATTGTACCTGGAGATAGTGTCAGATCCCATAGATGGAAATTCAATCCTGCAAAATTGCACCCCTGTCAAATTTGTTGCAAATTCAGGGTATTACCTATTCATTTAATTATGGCTATAAATCTGAAGTACGATGACCCACTCCCTTTGTGTTTTAATGAGTCAGCTAAAGCTGCCAAAAGAGTCATTTTACTTTCTATATAGTCAATCTACTATTTAAAAAAAAGATACGATTTAGAAATGATCAGATTAGGACCAGAGTGGTTAGGACGTTTTGCACTTGACTGACCCTTGTTCAATCCCTGCCATCCCATATGGTCCCCTGAGGCCTGCCAGTAGTGATCCATGAGCTCAGAGCCAAGATTTAGCCCTAAGCATTGCAGGGTGTGCCCCCCCCCCCCAAAAAAAAAAAGGAAGGGACTGAGGGAGGGAGGGTGAGAGAGGAAAGAAAAATGAAAAGAGAAAAGATTATATCATATAGAGATATGAGATATATGTGTGTGTGTGTGTGTCTGTGTGTGTGTATGAGTCCACTAGGTACCTAGTGCCTTATTTTAGTTTCTATAAAAATCACCTATTTTCCTAAGTTCTCTCATCATTTTGGAGAAATCGAGGAATTCTGTGCCAGAAAGGAAACAAAGACCAATGTGACATCACAAGGAACAATGGGAAATGACTATTAAATATGTGGTTCTTAGACAACTGGATATTTAAGGGATATTAAGGAAACTTAATCACTATAGAAATATGAGGTCCAGATAATAGATGATTGCAGTACCTGTGAAAAAATTATCTGAACAGAGTAGAATAACATCCTGTCCTTGGAGTAAAAACATTTCATTTTCATAAACAATCCATTCTTAGTGTAAGAGCAAGTATTGATATTCTGGATTTCATTGAGAATTTCCACTTATATCTGTGACATTACTGTACACAAATAATGAACTAGAAAATTTAGAAAGACTATCCTTTTCAAAATATATATAATAATATATAACTGTCCTCCCGTTGCTCATCAGTTTGCTTGAGCGGGCCCAGTAACAT